CAAGGGCAGTTCTCTCAGAGCTCTCTCAGCCCCATCTACCTCACAGGCAGTGCTCCCTCTAAGCTGTAGAGTCTTGTGAGCAAAAATTCTACATTGTGAACTACTGGCATTAAAGTTGTGAGGGAGCGATTTGGCTACTGCATAAATTAGTTTGCTCTGTGGAGCTAAGACAAAAATGTGTGAGCCGGAGGCTAAAAAACTGTGAGCTAGCTCACACTAGCTCAGCTTAGAGAGAACCCCGCTCACAGGGTGTCTGTTCTGGGGAGGGGAAGGGAAAGGAGATTGTAAACCGCTCTGAGACTCCTTCAGGTAGTGAAGGGCAGGGTATAAATCCAATCTCTTCTTCATCATCTCTAATTGAACACTGAGAACAACAGTACAGGAAGACTTTTCCCTTGATGGGGCCTTCCATTACCACTACAGGCACCTGGAACGTGAGGAGAGTGAAAGCTCTTCTTGTCAGAGATTAGCCGCAAATAGATTATGGCAGCTTGCTAATGCCAAAACAAAGCCTAAATGCACTAGATTCCACCTGGAAAGTTATCCGCAATGCTTCCTTTTCAAGCTCATGCTTGATTTGCAGCGTTCTTTATACTGCCTGAAGGCTATTCGGTTCAAACTGGTACAAAATTCTACTGAACTTGTTAGCAGGCACGTCTGTCCCGATGTAATACCCAAAGACTCAGAGCACAGCCTCCATAATACCTAATATATGGTATTTACTCAAGAGGAAGAATGGCCACCATAAAAACTTTTATGCTTTACAAGCATTCTTTACTGCACCCCTCCCACCTTCTGACTGGGTTAAAAAGACTCAGGTCTCCATTCCTACTCATTGTCTCAGGAAGGGATCTTTGAGTCTCGAGTGCGCAATACTCTGAAACTCTTGCTGGTCTCTAAGGTCCTATCGAACTCGAATCTAACTGTTTAACTTCAGACCAGCACCTTCTGTATATAACTGTAACTTGTATGTGAATGTAAGACAACCCCCCCCCTCTTTTTATGGCACACCTGGGGGAGAAAAACTAGTCTTGCATTTGAGTCAATACTGTAATACCTTTCATTATGTGTCCCCCTAAAAGGCCCAGATTAGCCTGATCGTGTCAGACCCCATAAACTACATAGGGTCGGCTTGGTTAGTTACTTAAATGGAGACCGCCAAGTATGTCCAGGGATGCTATGCAGAGGTAATAATTAATATCGTATGGCATTGTGTGTAGTAGGAGCGAGCGAGTGAAGGGGCCGGACCAACTGGCACAGAGGCGGAGCAGCGCGGCAGGCCGGAGCCTCATCAGGACAGAGGCCGCAAGCGGAGCATGCGCGGAAGTGCGATTGGTCCTGGCCGGAAATTAATCGCTACAGCCGGAAAGAAGGAAAACTGGGAAGACCAGCACCAGGAAAGGACGCCGCCGACTACCGCCGCAAGAACAGGACAACAACCGAAGATCCGCCGCAACAAGGGTGCCTGGTAGGGTTGTCACTACCCCTGTATATCTGTGGCCCTAGGTTAGATTCGGTAATGTGATTAGCACTCCCTGTAAGCCGCCCAGAGACCCTTAGGGGTTAGGGCGGGATAACAAATCGAATAAATAGTATAGCCAGGAGATCTGAAGATTGTCTGGCAGCCTAAAGTTCTAACTCTTTAGCGTTATACACCACTAGGTGGTGAGCTACTTATTTTTGGGGCCGAGTGAGAGCTCTGAAAGAGCTGTGACTGACCCAAGGTCACTCAGCTGGTATTCATGTGGAGAAGTGTGGAATCGAACCCAGTTCTCCAGAATACAGTCTGTTGCTCTTAACCACTACACCACACTGGCTCTCTATGCAAAGGCAGGCATTGCCAAACCACCTCTGTACATCTTTTGCATTGAAAACCCTTCAGGGTCGCTATACTTAGGCTGTGACTCGATGGTACTTTCCTCCACCACCACCAATAAAGGGTATTATGGAGGACATGTACAATCTCCTGACTGATGTGGGACACAAAATATACGCTGTTCTTCCTTTGAGTCATCTGCACTGGAGTCTTGTTAACCAGCATCTTGAAAGTATCAGCCCCCCAAACATTACCAACTTTAAAGTTCTCAATGACCAGCACACAGCATACCCAAAGAAGCACTTTCCTAGCATACAGATTTCCAGGCAGGCCTGTAGCCAGAAATTTTCCCGGGGGGAGGGGCAAAGAGGGGGCACTTCCGGGAGGGAGGATGGGAGGGAGCCCGCAGGAGCTGGCTTTATATTACAGGAGAGCTGGCTTTGCTCAGGCCTTTACTAAAGGCTGGCAGAGAGCTGGGTCAGTGCTGCCAAAGAAAAAGACTCCACATTTCCCAAATGTCCATTTGCACACTCCCATAAATTGTAACAGCAGAAGCGGCCGTGGGGAAGGGAGGTGCGGGAGGCACCAGGGGAGTTAGGGAACTGTCCCTTGCAGCGGTCTCTTTAACCACAGTTGGAGATGGAAGCAATTAAGACAGGCAAGGATCCGCGGTGATGATTTTTGTGCTCCGGGCCCAGCAAACCTCTTGCTCTCCTCTAGGCACGCAGCCCACTGTCTTTTCTCTGAGCACCCGGACTCAACACCCCCTTCTCCCCTTGGCCTCCTCCTCACCCTCCCTTCCCCTCCCTCACCCCACCACCGCCTGCATCTCTCCCTCACCTTAATACCAGTTCTTTGGCAAAGAGGAAACTTCCTTCCCCTCCGGCCCTGCTCCAGCCACTGCGAGGGTGGTGGGGGAGGGGGGCAGCACACTGCATGCCCCCAGCTTCCTCCCCCTTCCGGGACTGCGACAGGAAGTTGGTGAGGCAAGGGCGGGCAGGGGTAAAAAGCGCGTTGTGCTGGGGGTGGGTCTGGCATCCTCCCGGGGTGTGGCAGAGGCTCGTCCATGGGGGTGCTGCCCCCAAATGTCCCCCCCATGGCTACAGGCCTGTTTCCAGGTAATCTGGGAATAAGACAGGGAAGTCATGCTCTTTCAGCCCTGGCTAGCCTGATCTTGTGAGATATCGGAAGCTAAGCAGTGTCGGCCCTGAAAGGCACAAGATGCAGCAACCGAGGTCTAGTTCTGGTCACGGCCTGGAAGGAAAACATCTGGGGAACCCTCTGTACACTGTCATGAGTTCCACAGAAGAAAAGGCATGATACAAGAGGCATTTTAATAAAGGCATAAGGCCCAGCCAAACCCAGCAGCAGAAGCTAACTACTCAGGGAATCCAAACTCACAGGCTATTCTTTAAAAAGACTCGCAAACAGGGGGAAAAGGATACAGTCTCTTTCCTGAACCTTCAGGCAACACTTTTGGAGACCGGTTTGCTCTACTCCTCTTTATTTTCCTAACTGCAGTCCTTTAGGGACTGGGGGAGGGGAGGGCTTGAGTTGCAATCAACAGAGGTGCCATGGAGCAAGGGCACAGAAAAATTAGCTTTTCCTCCAAAGACAGCAATACAGCCTGGGTGTGCCCTGGTTTAGCAAAAGCAGGGGAAAGACAGGCCTCTTGGTGGCACCCCAACTATAGCCTATGCTCCCAAGAACAGCCTGCCATGCCACACCCCGACTGCAACTCAGGAGGCAAACAAACACCTTAATTATTTCAGCAGCCTTTTAATGCTAAAGCTACATGTCCTTTTATTATTTTAGTGTGTTTGATGATTTCATAGTGTCAGATTACAGTTTTCACGTTGTCTTGAGAACGAATACAGAAAGGCGGCAAAAAACATTATAAATAAAATACACATAAGTATTCAGCTGAACCACAGTATCCCTGGCTGGTTGACAACAATGCTTTATATTTTCATTACAAATTCCCAAGCCTTGTTTTGTCACAACCTGAACTACCACACCGAGCCAGATCTACATTAGCCCATTCTATGTTCCAGCTACGGATTTTAGCAGGATTGGCCCAGGGAATCACAAGCAAAGCAAATTCTGCTTTTACCATTCACTTCCAGTTTTCAGTCAGGGGGGGAAAGGAGGTTTTAAGTACACTCCGAACTTGAGACTGTGCACACGCCTATCAATCACCTTGGGTTAACATTCACAGCTAGCCTGTTCTTTTGCAAGGGGGAAAAAAAGTCAAGCTGTTGATCGCAGCTGCAAAGTGTTCCCAGCCTGAGAGCACAGAAGACCAAGATTTCTAGGTTTTTTTGCCATTCCTACCACACCACCTCAACACACTCCTTACAGTACACTTGGAGGGGGGTATGAAGACGTCACCCTGGAGTGGCTGAAACGGGATGAGGCAAGAACAAGGAGCCAGCCCTGGCTGGGAAGTGGTTTGGATGGCAGGGGGATTGCTGGAGGATAACAACAATAGGGAGTCCAGACAGGAATTTACAGGTCTCCATGTCTCCAACAGACTAGAAATATCCAAATATATTTTGTTCTCAAAGCAAACCCCGACACGTCCTTCCTTAGACAAGCACTACTGGACGCCACAGGGGCCTCCTCCTGAATAAACTTGCACAGGCTCAGGGCGACCAGACTGCAGGAACCCACTCTTACAACACTTCCTTGCAAGGAAAAGGCCCACGGCACTTACAGAGATTTACTTTCAAGCAAACGTGCACGCGTTGCACGGAGCACTGCGTCCACTTTGAAAGAAAAACCATAAGGCAACCCGGCTTGCTTAAACTCGCTTTTGAGCAAGGCTTTCGGAAAAATTCCCATGACAGGTGTATTTAATCTCTCGTTAATCCCTCTTGGACACAGTTCCTCATGAAGTCACCCCCCTCCTTTCCCCAGTCAAAAGGTAGGGAGGAACCCTTTTCCCAAAAATTGTGGGCTTTCCCCCAAAATAATTTGGGGGAAGCAACCCTTAGTGCAATCCCAGGGTAATAAGTAATCCCCCTCTCCTTACCGCATCCCCCATTCCCTTAGCAGGAGAACGCCAATTCCTCCAGTTCCCCCCCACCCCAACCTTTGGTGAGAGCGGGGCACAGTCTTCAGCCCCACCACGGTTCTCCCCAGGAGGGAAAGCCGGCCCGGGCCTCCCTTTCCCAGCGCTCACCCTTGACTTTGCCGAAGGTGCCCACGCCCAGCGTGTCCCCCAAGATGTAGTGCCCTATCTTCACCCGCCCGTGCTCATGTTTCTGTTTATCCGCCGCCGCCATCTTGCGCCAAGACCCGAGCCTGCGCATAAGCGAGCGAAGACGGAGCCGCTTCCACGCCCACGGGGCGAACCAGTCGAAAGGCCGGCGGGAAGAGACAAGGTGCGGCTCAACCACACAAGCGCCCGCCCGCACCAAAACCCCGGAAGCGAACCTGAGCGGCTTCCTTGCCTGCTTTGCGCCCCGCTTCCTCGCAGCGGCGTGAGCGCTGTTTGTGGGAGAGACCATTCTCCGAGGAGGGGGAAGAGAAGATGGGTCCATGCGGGGGGGGGGGAGGAAGCCCTGAGAAATTAGTATTTATAGTGTTTTTCTTTATAATGAACAGGAGTCTTCTGGCACCTTAAAGGTTAAATAGATTTTATTCCTACCCAGACTGCCACTGTGGGAAGTTCAGATTTTGGGTTCCCGTTCCCAGGAGGCAAAGCTCATCCACTGAATGCCTCAGTGCCTCACAGGCATAATAAAAATAGGAAGTCGTTTAAAAATAAGAGTGCTTCTGGGCATGCGTACAGTATCTTACCATGGTAATAGCAACATTCCCCTCGAACGTTATTGCTGCCAACTTTTCTGCTTCTCGCCATAAGGCTGGAGATTTTCCAGGGTTACAACTGTTCTCCAGACGACAGAGATCAGTTCCCCTGGAGAAAACGGGGGCTTTGGAGGGTTGACTGTATGATACAGTCCACTCAGGTCCCTCCCCGGATCTTCAGGGTTTACTCCCAAATCTCCAGAAACTTTTCAACCAGGAGTTGGCAACCCTTTGGTGTTTGGTGTAGTGGTTAAGTGTGCGGACTCTAATCTGGGAGCACTGGGTTTGATTCCCCGCTCCTCCTCCACTTGCACCTGGCTGGATGAAATATTCCCTTTTCCCTCCCTCCCCCGAAAGGCTTCCCGCAATGCACTTCCCTCATGTCCCACATAGATAAACTCAGGATAACATCAAGTACTTAATATTGTTCTAAACATAGTAGATTTTGTCTCACGTCCCAGTTCTTTTCTAAATATATCTTAAAGTCTTTCCATTCTTCGAAAAATTCTTGGTCTTCTTTGTTGTTCAGTTTTTTAGTTATTTTATCCATCTCAGCCATGAACAGAACTTTTGTATCCATTCTTCCAGGTCTGGTATTTTTTCTTGCTTCCAATATTGAGCATATATCATTCTTGCCGTTGTTATCAAATACCAGAACAATGTCTTTTTTGTTACATTCAGTTCTTCCATTTTTAAACCTAAGAGCAGAATTTCAGGCGCTTTCTTAAAAGAACATTTTAGAATCTTTGATAAGAGCTGTCCTTGAAAAAGAGCCGCTTCTGTCAAGAGCTCTCTCAGCCCACCTACCTCACAGGGTGTCTGTTGTGGGGAGGGGAAGGGAAAGGAGTTTATAAACTGCTCTGAGACACCTTTGGGTAGGGAAGGGCGGGGTATAAATCCAATCTCTTCTCTTCTTCTCTAAATCTTCCTTCTGGGTAAATACAGTGTTGACTATATGTGCCTCCTGCCTTGTCGAAAATGGACTGTCCAGTTAGACAGAGTTAGCACACTAGTTCCACATGTGACAAGTCTAGCTTTGTCGCATTTTAACTGCACATGCAGAATGCTGGGTGCAAGCAAAGTTGCTGGACAAGCCTCTCTATACAGGAAGGGTGGGAGATAAATTGAAAATAATAATTATTTTGTCTTTTACATCAGGTCTGGGATTGAGGGTGCTGTCTTATATTGAATCAAAACAGAATATATCTTAATTCTCAGCAGAGACTTCTTGATACCTAGGGACACTAACAAAAAATGAAGAAAAAGACAAGAACAGAGCACAGAAAGCATTTAACCTGGCAGAATCAGATGTAGCAGACATATAAATTCATATTTATAAACCCAAAGTCAGTTTTTTGAGTGTGTATTGCTTGTTTTAGCTTAATTTTAAAGGAAACTCTAAAACCCTTATTACCTAAAAGTAGACATAAAACCATTATCATCTTCATTAGTATTGTTTTAATCTCTTAACTCAAAGCCGCTGAATGTACAAATTCCCAAATCTGTTGATAAAGTCAGAAAAGTTCAGTTTACTCTTGCAGTGATCATTAACTCCAGGTGGGTGAAACCCTTCCTTCTAGAGGTTACTTAACAGGTCGCAGAATCTGTTTTTGCACTTCAGAGAATGTTACAGTTTATCCAAGACACTATAAACATTCAGTGCAGCAGTTTGAAAATCTGCTTTAAAACCTAACTGTTATACGCTGAAGTAGTGCAGACTTTTCAAAGAGGGAAGCCAATCCAATATTTATCAAATGAAGTCAAAGGCACCACATCTTTACACCATCTTTTAAAGGCTGTTTCCCTAGCTCTCCATCCTCAGATAGGCAAGGGGGTGGGGAATAAGGGAACTAGAAGAGTATTCATCTTGATGAGGCTTTGTTAAAAATTTTATATTTTTACTGGTATTTGGGCCTTTTCTAATTCTGTGTTCCTACGGGGATTTAGGAGCTGCGGTGGCTCAAGTGATAGGCAAGGGGGTGGGGAATAAGGGAACTAGAAGAGTATTCATCTTGATGAGGCTTTGTTAAAAATTTTATATTTTTACTGGTATTTGGGCCTTTTCTAATTCTGTGTTCCTACGGGGATTTAGGAGCTGCGGTGGCTCAAGTGGTTAAGACGCTGAACTGCAGGCTGTGGAAGGTCAGTAGTTCAGCAGTTCGAGACCCGGGTGCCGCATGATGGAGTGAGCTCCCATCTCTAGCTCCAGCTCCTGTCAACCTAGCAGTTTGAAAGCAAGAAATTGCAAGTAGATAAATAGGTACCACTTCGGTGGGAAGGTAACAGCGTTCCGTGCACCTTGGTGTTTAATCATGCCGGCCACATGACCACGGAAATGTCTTCGGACAGTGCTGGCTCTTCAGCTTTGAAACGGAGATTAGCACCGCAACCCTAGAGTCAGATTCGACTGGCTTTCGAGCAAGGGAACCTTTAGTTTTTGGGGATTTAAATATTTCAGCTGTTACACAAAATTTTAAGATCCGCCCTGAACTTTAAATAGCCAAAAAAGTACTTGGAAAGGGGAAGGGGGGGGGGGGGGGACACACTTAACATGTGAATATATACCCTTGCAAACCTTTTTTTACAATAGTAGATAATGACTACTCTAAAGCCCAAGTGTTAATCACAATGTGTTATGCCGGCCTTTGGTATGGGATTAAAAAAAATATTTTAAAGTATTTACCCCCTGCCTTATGTTTGCTGCAATCTCAAGGCAGCTAACAATACATTAAAAGCTGCAAGGACAGAAAACTGTAAGCATCCAGCAAGACCAATATACACGCATGGCTAGAAACAATAGCAAGTTAAAAGCCAACACGGTTAAAAACATGTCCTTTTAAAAACAATGTTGTTGTTGTTCAGTCACACAGTCAAGTCCGACTCTTCGCGACTTCATGGAACACATCACGCCAGGCCCTCCTGTCCTCCGTAGTTTGCGCGACTTCATGTCTGTTGTATCGATAACACTGTCTAACCATCTCATCTTTGCCATCCCCTTCTTCTTCCACCTTCAGTCTTCCCCAGCATCAGGGTCTTCTCCAGTGAGTGCTCCCTTCTCATTTGGTGGCCAAAGTATTTGAGCTTCAGCCTCTGGCCTTCCAGGGAACAGTCAGGGTCAGTGTTCCCTCTAAGCTGAGTTAGTGTGAGCTAGCTCACAGTTTTTTAGCCTCCGGCTCACACATTTTTGTCTTATCTCAGGAAGGATGGCTCCAGGGCAAACTAATTTATGCCATAGCCAAATCGCTCACTCACAACTCTAAGGCCAGTAGCTCACAAAGTAGAGTTTTTGCTCACAAGACTCCACAGTTTAGAGGGAACGTTGGTCAGGGTTGATTCTTTTAGGATTGACTGATTTGATCTCCTTGCAACCCAAGGTACTCTCGAGAGTCTTCTAAGGCACCCAGTTCCCTTGCACCAAATGCCTTCTGTAACCGAACAAGTGTCACATGCCTTTGTTGAACTTGGGAAGTGAAGGCATCTGGCATACCCATGCAGAGGATGCCTGGCCCCAGGCGTTGCTAACAGATGGTCTCCCAGATCCTGCTCCAACACTCCACATTGGCTCGTTAGATTTACTGAATTTTTAATGTCGTCATTTTTTTTTCTTGAAATCTGAGCTGCCTTGTTTGGATCCCTACCCTTCTTGGCCCAGGCTAGCCCGATACTGCCAGATCTCCGAAGCTAAGCAGGCCTGGCCCCAGAACAAACGGAGAGTCCAGTGCTACCTTTAAGACCAACATAGATCTACTCAAGGTATGAGCTTTCGTGTTAGTGCTTGGATGAAAGCCCAGGGTCACAATGCAGAGGCAGGCAATGGCAAACCCCCTCTGTTCATCTCTTGCCCTGAAAATGCTACAGGGTCACCATTAAGACAGGGGCAACTTTATGGCACTTTCCACACTCACTTCTCAAGCTTACCCCCTCCCCCCTCCCTTAAAGTATTCAGCCTTGCACTGCAGGCTGGCTGCTCCAAACCCACTTTAATACAACAACTGCCAGCCTCAAATCAAATCCGTCTACTGGTACAAGACAGAAATGGTTTCCTGAAGGTGTCCCTCATGAAACTTCCACCCACCCAGTTCGAGAGATCAACTCATTCACTATTCTCAGGGACTTGGAGAATCTCCCTGCCTTGGGCTGAGCATTTTTGTTGTTCAGTCGCAGTCGAGTCAGACTCTTCGTGACCCCATGGACCAGATCACGCCAGGCCTTCCTGTCTTCCGCCGTCCTCTGAAGTTTGCTTAATTTTATGTTCGTTGCATCTATGATACTGTCTAACCATCTCAGAAGATACAGATCAGATTTATACCCCGCCCTTTACTACCCAAGGGAGTCTCAGAGCGGCTTACAAACTCCTTTCCCTTCCCCACAACAGACACCCTGTGAGGTAGGTGGGGCTGAGAAAGCTCTGACAGAAACTGCTTTTTCAAGGACAGCTCTTATCAGAACTATGACTTGCCCAAGGTCATCCAGCAGGTGCAAGTGGAGGAGTGGGGAATCA